GAACAGGCAAATCGACGAAGTACACTGCTGAGGGGAGCAGCGGGCGGGTCAGGAGAGGTCTGCCACGCCATGTGGTCACCTTGGGGCAGGCGGGGATCGAACTCATGCAGAAGTGGCTTTAGCTTCTTAGTGTAGTGCTTCAACCCGCTGAACCACGAGGGAGGGCCTCAAAAATCTCTTTTAAAAACTGTCTTAAGAATAGATACCGGACTTTCAGATGTGCTATTTTATAAATCTGTGGCTATTTCTAGTTCAAGAGCACATGAAGGAAATTAAAATTTGCCATCACACAGATATGTAGTTGTAAAAGGGAGGAATACTTTAGCAGTCTTTTACATGACTGTAAATATCCTCTTTTGATACAACATAACATGGTTTCTAAAATCTTAAAACCAAAGAAACTTCTATAGACTGTTCTACTAAAAACCCATTGGTCTATATAGTAGGCACTAAGTTGGCCCTCAATTATCCCCACCTCTCAGTACCCATTACCTGTATGTGAATAACTTACATGTGAGTAGGATCAAATAGAATGTAGCAGAAGTGAAGGAATGAGGTGCTACTTTCAAGATCAGTTTTCAAGGTTACAAGATACTGGCTCCCAACTTACCCTCTTTGGCTCTTTTATTTGCTCTGCAGTTAGGAACAAGTTTCCAGTCAAGAGCCACAAGTTTCAAGTTTTTAAATGGCTTCAGCCGTGGCTGACACTTTGACAACACCCCTGTGAACCACTCTAACAAAAGGCACCCAGATGAGACACACCTGGATTCCTGACCCACAGAAGCTATGAGATAATTACTGTTTTAGGAAGCTAAATTTTGTTATGCAGTAACAGATATATTTATACATATATATATATATATATATATATATACATACACAAAGATATAGAAACTTAAATATATGTGTAACCCATCTTGCAGTCTGAACAAGATATTTTAATTATGTATGATTTTGAAATGTCTCACATTGGTCGTTTGAAAATATTTGTTCACTGAGTTAAGCGAACTCTCCAAATATTAACCATTTCATTATGTGATTTAAAAAAAAAAAACACCACCACTAATCTCATTAGAAAATCTTTACATGTCAGGACATTAACAGTTAGCTCAGGGCCTTCCCTGGTGGTACAACAGGTTAAAGTACAGCACTATGATGTTATATGCAATCACTGCAGCATAAGTTCAACTCCCAGCAAGGGAGGTGACCCACATGCCGTGGCAGATCTCTCCTAACTGCATTAGTGTATTTCAGTCAATCTGCTTGTTCTGCTCCCCACTGTGTCTCTGGTGAGTCCTCTCACCCCCAGGACCTGTGACCTGTACCCCAGTTCTGTATGCACAAATAAAGAAATCTTTTAAAAAATATACTGATTTATCTATGCATACAAGAACTGGGATGTAGGGTAAGGTGTCAGGGAGAGGATTCACCAAAGACAGGGTGGGGAGTCAGATGTACTGAAATACACTGCTGTAAGGGCAGCAGCAAGCAAAACACTAAGTCTGCTACACCATTATGGGCTAGCTCCCTGGCCTTCAGGGATTGAACTCATGCTGCAGTGGCTGGCAATAGGGTGACAGAACTGTCTTTAACCTCTACACCAACAGGTAAGCCCCTGGGAAGTTTTTTAAATCAATGGTAACAATGTCAGTTATACGCCTTAAAGTGATAACAGACTTTGCTCATTTTCAAGAAAATGTACGCAAAATGCCTAACTCTAAATAATTAGTTTGTCAGTAAAAATAATGTTGCATGAAAATAGCAGTTAGCTTAGCTCCTATATCAAACAACAGAACAAGTGTTTTTTTTTTAATAAGTGCTTTTTCTTAAGGTAAACAGAATGCAAAAATGTTTTATGTATAGCATCAATCTTGGTTCATCAAAAACGTTAAATTGACGCTTTTTAAAAAATTTGTGTGTGTGACAATGAAGATTTCAGTAAGTTGTAGTTAACTATACACGTCCAGTTTGGGGCCACAACTTGACCTACCATTGCTTCTAAGCCATCATACCAGTATCAAAATACTGAAAAGTAAAAAAAACTTTAAAGGTATTATTATAAAAAAGCTTTATAATCATATCAGAGCCCCTAAAAGGGCTAATAATCTCCAGGTCACATTTTAGGAATCATACTTTAGATCAATTCTGACTCCCACCCCCTACTATTGAAAAAGATGAAATTGAGGCCCTCTCTGGTGGCACAGCAGGTTAAGAAGCTAAAGCCACTTCAGCATGATTTCAATCCCCACCTGGGAGGTAATCCACATGGCGCAGCAGAGCTGTCACGCCCGAGTTAGCCTGTCGGCCCCCCACTCTGTCTCTGGTGAATCCTCTCACCACCCCTGCACCTATACCCCAGTAAATAAATAAATCTTAAAAAAAAAAAAAAAATGAAATTGTGTCCTTTGAGGAGGTGATAATGTTAAGTGAAGTCAGAAGGTGAAAGACAATTACTAATAGGATGCTTTGCTCATTTGTACGATATAAAGAAAACAAACTGACAAAAACATGACAAAAATAACCTTTACACTCTGTGAAAACTATTGGGGGGTAGGAGTGAGCAAGAAGGGGGGAAAGAGGATAGACAGAGGGACATAAAGGTGATAGGGAAGTAGTAATGGAACTTTTGTAGAGGTGCACATGTTGAGGTGAAGCTATGCTTCTGAAAAGTATATAAATGTGTAAACAAATGGTTAATCAATAAAATTTGATAGTTGAAAATCAAATAAATCAGTACTACCCTAAGAAGAAAACAGTTCTCCAAAGACATTTTACAAGTTATAATTAGTTCTAGGTAGGACTTCCTAACCATATAAAATATTCTTTATCCCATTCAAACCAGAGGGTAACAGTAAGAAAATAGAGTTTCCTTTTTTTTTTATATCTGTGTGTGTATATATGTATAAGATATATATAAGATATATATATTTTAAGATTTATTTATTTATGAATACAGAACTGGGGTACAGGCCAGAGGCGCAGGGGCGGTGAGAGGATTAACCAGAGACAGAGTGGGGAGCAGAACAGGCAGATTGTCCAAGTCCACTGCTGAGGGAGCAGCGGGCAGGTCAGGAGAGGTCTGCCTCCTCAAGTGGGATCACCTTGGGGGTGGGCGGGGATTGAACTCATGAGGAAGTGGCTGTAGCTTCTTAGTATTGTGCTTTAACCCACTGTGCCACCAGGGAGGGCCCCCCCTTTTTTAAATATTTATTTATTTATTCATACAGAACTGGGGTACAAGCCAAAGGTGCAGGGGCAGTGAGAGGACAGAGTGGGAGGCAGAACAGGCAGATCAACGAAGTACACTTGAGGGGAGGAGTGGGCCCGCCAGGAGAGGTCTGGCCCACCATGTAGTCACCTCCGGGGCAAGCGGGGATCGAACTACTGAGGAAGTGGCTTTAGCTTCTTAGTGCTGTGCCTTATGCCACAGTGCCACCAGGAAGGGCATAGGGTTTCAATGAAAAATCTTTTGCCTCTGTTCAACAGTAAAATAGTACAGAGTCTATTTCCTCTAGCCTGCCCCACTGAATATTCTGCCTTTTTTATGCAATAAATAAAATACAGTTTCCAAGGGCATTACTCCCCAGTTTCATAATCTATTTATAACTCTTATATGGGAACAAAATTATGAAGTGTTTTATTACTTCTGATATATTAACAGCACAATGATTGGGTGAAATGAACAGTTCAGAAAGTACATCTTATATTTCAATAATCAGAAATTATAGTGTTCTACCTTTCATCTTAATTTCTGAATCTGGATAATACATTCCTTGATTTCTTGCTACAATAAATTCCAAAGCAGCCAAATTAAGGATAGATCATATAAAAACTCCCAACTAAAGTGCTTTTTCAAATCAAAAGATACAGCTTAGCTTTTTTTCATCCTTTTCTTTCCACTTTCTTTTCCTTTATTCTTTTTACCTTTTTAACAGGCTAAATTGCTCTGAATTAACATATGCACAATATTTCCAGGTGTCTAGAAACATTTCTATGTGCTTAATCTGTACCTGCCTAATAGATTACTATTTTATTTTTATTTTTTAATAAACCAATTAATGCCTAAAAGAATCTGGCTCATAAAAGGGAAATAAGGGGCGTATTAAACTAAAACTATAAATTTTCTTTAAATATAACTAAACCTTTCGTTTTTACAATTTTCTCTAACTACCCAGATTAATTAATAACAAGTATATAGGTTAGGGGTTACTTTACCAGTTTACAAAACTGGAATAGCATTTCTAGAAATTAGGAAAAAATGAAGGCATATCAAGACAGTAAGCACGTTAAAAACAAAAATTAACTGGAGGTTTCTACCTAACAAGAGATTAATTTCCATTAAAAGGCAACTTTTGGGGGGCTAATTTTTCTCTATTTAGCCTTCTGCAGTAAATATCAACCTTGTAATCTGGTTTATTCCTTATGAAAGAACCAATTTTGCAACTTTCTATGTGGGGAGTACACGGAATTTCAAATATCGACTCTATACTTGAAGTAACAATCTCTGAGCAAGCCTCAAAAATAGCTTCAACAATGAAATCAAATTAAACTAAGGAAAAAAGGTGAACTTACCACCAAATAAAGGCTCTGGCTCTACCAATATTTCTTGCTTTTGAGGAATCGGGGCTCGTACTTCTTCTCTATTAAGGAAAAGGTGAGAAAGTACCAAAATGAAAACTTTGTTACCTGCTCTATAAGTACTGAGAATACATTCAAATTAGTAAGTAAAAAAAACCCACTATATTTAGTGACATTTAAGAATCACAATAAATCATGATAAATAATGGACAGTTCCCAAACAGAAACCAAATGGATTAAATTACCTGGCAAAGATAGCTCAAATATTTAAAAAAGAAAGAGAACAAACAAAAATGGTGGGGGGGCGGAGGGGAGATTTGGAAATTTACCAAAGGGTGAAAATTATTGAAAAAATATAGGTTTAATAAAAGTATTATTATATTACTACATCAAATAGATCAGTAAATCACACAAATAAGCTCAAATCGGTAATGAATGTGTTATAAAGACTACAGATATTACCTTAGATTATTTATTAAAAAGAGCCTAGTAGAAACAAAACAGTAAAACTACTAAATATTTTTAAAGCCTATAAATACTTCAAAGTTTATCACTACAAAATACACTAATGTTCCAACTCTTCCAATTAAAAAATGCTCATTTAAACACTTTAAAAATGATGATATCCCCATAAATATCAATTTATTTAAAATTTTGAACTCAAATACTACTCTGCTGATTAATGCTCACAGCATTAGTAACAGTAAGTTCCAAATTCATTGTGTATAATACAAGTCTATTTAAGAGAGGCATAATGTTTCTGATTACTGTTTTCAACAGTAGTAACTGAACTTGAGGCTGTTTTTTGACAAGAACTATCATAGTATCCTCTAATCAAAGAGTAACCTTGAGACAGAGAAATCTACAAAAAGCCAAATTACTGAAGGCTAAAGGATAAGTCAAAATTATCTTAAATACCCTTTTCCAAAAGGCATTAAACTTTGTTCACTGTGGATTTTAATCTAAAGGTGTAGACAATGTGTCTGAAAAAAAGATGTATTGATCCTCTTTCATGAAGAGAAAAAAGCACATTAATTATCCTTTAAAAACTATAAATATACAAGTTGTACCCAAAGAAATCTCCTTTTTGCTATATCTCATTTAACAGGATGTATATAATTACCTTAATCTACAAAACTTTACTCAAAATAAACCTTAATCTGATTAAGTAAGTGAATCAGCCAGACGGATTAAGTAGTAGCCTATACACAGAAAGATTTATTGATTACTACATAATTAAGGGTATCAGTTACAATACTGTCAGCTACCTTAAAAGAATGGAACAAAAAGATAAACTGTAAAGAGTGAAAGTTACAGTTTAGGAAACAGAAACCACATTAAAATGCTGATCAAATTAGGAATACAAATAATCTAAGTGAAACTATAATGTAATTCAGTAGAAACAGACATTTATCAAAACTATTTTCAAGCACAATTTTAAAAAAAGGTTTTATACAGTCAGGAGAGATATGTTCGCCAAAATTGGCTATGAATTCCTGTTATTCAAGATTCTATAAATTAAACTGTGCTTTTATACTGATTTCCATTAACGTTTGAGCTATGCTGAGGAGAATATAATACTGTACCTAAAATACATGGCCAAAATTGACAGGAAAAACTTTATTAAATATTAATAGTGGCCTCTAAATTATACTTCAGATGGAAACATCATTACTCTAGAATCTGAAGCTAGATCAATAAAAGAAGCAGTTACACCCCAAATGTTATTTGGCTTTTTAAAATTTTTGATTTAGTAAAGAGAGTCCATGTCTTTTGCCTATTCAGTCCATGTCTTTTGCCTATGTTTTGTTTAGTATTTCATGTTGTAAACAATGAGTTATAGTTATGTAAGATCTCACCTACGATATTTTAAATTGTTTCAAAAATCATGACATCCCTCTAAGTAGCATTTATCGCTAATAATTTTCAAAGACTAATGAATGCCTGTTGATGTTATACAACAGGTATTCACTTCATACTCTCCTAAGCATCAAACGTTAAGAGCAAAAACACCAAACCCGTTCACCAATGATACTATTTTCTATATATTACAGCTATAACTGCTGACGGTTCTTCTGATGATCAACTTTAACAGGTGAAATGACTAGAATTATTTGTCTTCAAGGAAACTCAAAACTTTCTGGGACAATGCAAACAAATCTAAATTTAGGAAATTTGAGCTTTATTGAACTTTACTTCTATAACTGCCACTTAGCTTGGGAAAATCACTGGATCTCTGCTTCCTCATCTGTAAAGTGAGATGAAATCCTATTGGTTTTTCTGAGGATTAAATAACAAACATGACAGTGCACTAGATAATTTAAAGTATAAAATTTTCTGCTTTCAAATTTTTTAATTTTTACAAAAACATAGTATTAACCTAATTGTTAAAAATGTAACTGTCCCATTGAGGCAAGGGGGTAACTCCTAAAAACAAGTAATAAATTCATACTCTGTATGTGGTCTGACAGTAGAGACACTTGCTGAACTGGTACTGGGCTCTTCAGCAATTCCTCCACCATCCAAAAACATTGTGACTGCCATCTCCAGATTATTGTTGCAGGCTTCAAGCATATGTTTTCCTACACTTTCACTTGCACCTGAAATAGCAAAAAGACAGGAAAAAAGTTTGTTTTTTTTTAAAGACACATTCTTACATCCAGTTCCTATTAGAGCACAGAATTTCCAAGCAAATTAACAATACTTTCACCTCCCTTTTAGAATAAATGACTTACTTTTTAATCCATTTTGTTTACTTTTACACTTTTTCAGAGAATAATGTAAAAAATACAGGACTATAAAAGCGGCAACACTAAAACAGAAGCATTCCATCACAATGAAACAAAATACTAAAGTATGTGCCACTTCTTTAAATAGACCAGCTATATATTTGTTAAAAAGGTAAAAAGAGAAAAAGAAAAAGTCTTTGTTGTAAAAACATTTTAGTAGAAATAATTTTTTTTTTTTAATTAATAACAGGGCCCTCCCTGGTGGCGCAGCGGGTTAAAGCACTGCACTAGGAAGCTAGAGCCACTTCCGCATGAGTTCGATCCCCGCCTGCTCCAGAGGTGACCACATGGCGCAGTAGACCTCTCCTGACCCGCCAGCTGCTCCCCTCAGCAGTGTACATTGTCGATCTGCCTGTTCTGCTCCCCGTTCTATCTCTGGTGAATCCTATCACCCTCTGCATCTCTGGCCTGTACCCCAGTTCTGTATGAATAAAAAAATAAATAAATAATAAATTAAGAAAATAAATTAATAACAATGGGAGAGAAATAAGATGGAGCTTTTTTCCCCAAAGACAAAATAGTCAAAACCTGGCAAGAAATGTCAATCCTCATTTAAAAGTGATCTTATCACACATTCTAAGGTCAAGCAAACTCAGCACAGTCTGTTAAATGCAACATAAATTGTAAAAGCACTCTAAGAAAAACAATTTTACAACATGTATTAAGAAGCATAAAAATACTCATTCCAGTAATTTCGGGTTCTAGCCAAAAAAAACCACACGTCCATAAATATTAGTATACATCAGTCAATACTGAAAAACAAATGTTCAACAGTACTAGAGTCAAAATCGTAGCATCTATTTAATGGGAGCATCTGTGGTCATTACAAAGCATCTCATCAGGTTTTCAATTTTGAATGCTATTCCTTCTACCGAATTATGTTCCTCTGAATCTCATTATGTAAGGTCTTTTGGTATGTGTTTCTGCGGTTTTTGGTTTGCTTGTTTGCGCCTCTTCTCACAACCCCCTCATCTGAAAATGTGTTAATGTTGTTATCATTCCTGAAAGACCATTTCACTGGACATTCTATTATTTCAAGGCTGACAGCTATTTTCTCTCAGTACATTGAAGATAGCAACCCAGTCCTCTGGCTTCTGTTGTTGCTGCTGGACAACCAGCTGCCAGACTAAAAAACATTTTTTAAAAAATTTATTTATTGGCCCTCCCTGGTGGCGCAGCGGGTTAAAGCACAGAACTGAGAATCTAAAGCCGCTTCCGCATGAGTTCGATTCCCGCCTGCCCCGGAGGTGACCACATGGTGTGGCAGACCTCTCCTGGCCCGCCCACTGCTCCCCTCAGCAGTGTACTTCCTCAGTCTACCTGTTCTGCTCCCCACTCTGTCTCTGGTGAAGCCTCTCACCGCCCCTGAGCCTCTGGCCTGTACCCCAGTTCTATATGCACAAATAAATAAATCTTTAAAAAAAATTTATTTATTTATGCATACAGAACTCGGATATAGGCCAGAGGTGCTGAGGGTGATAGGATTCACCAGAGATAGAACGGGGAGCAGAACAGGCAGATCAACAATGTACACTGCTGAGGGGAGCAGCTGGCGGGTCAGGAGAGGTCTACTGCACCATGTGGGTCACCTTCCTGTCCAGGGATTGAAGTGGATGTGGCTGCAGCTGTGGTTAACTTCATAGTGCTGTGCTTTAACCTATTGCACTACAAGGGAGGACCCTAGAAAACATTTTTATAACAATCTGTTTTTCCTTTATATTCTTTAAAGATCTTTTCTGTCTTTGATCTGAAGTTTCACTCTTAATTTGTTGGGGATGATATTATTTATCTTTTTTGGGATTCACTGGGCTTCTAGTGTCAACTTTTAGCAATTCTGAAAAATCCTCAGCCATGGTCTATAATTACCTTATCCTCCACCCACTCACACTTATTTTCTTCTGGAATTCTGGTAAGATACATATTAGAACTCTATACTCTATTGCTGAACTGTTTTTACCTGTTTGCTGAGTTTTTAATTTCAGTTTTTTTATAGAAGCTGTAATCCAATTATACCAAATAATCTGCTCAGTCATGTTTCAGAGATCTTTACTTCATACTCATTAAAATTCTTTAATTTCTTCAAACATAGTCATTAAATTTATTGAAATTACTAAGAATATAAACTTTAATGTAGTATCTGTGGATCAATGTCTTATTTCTCCTGGCTCTTGCTCATTGTACCAGGATTTCTGTGCCTTTTTGGTAATATTTTATTGTGCTGGGGAGGTGGGTGAGGATTTTAATCCACAAATTATTTAAGCCTAGATTTAAGATATGTTCTTCCTAAAAGAATTAATTTGTTTTTGTAAGGCACCTGTGAATGCTTTAAATACATTCTTAGCTTCAAGACAACGTTTTACAAAACTACATGGGAAATGTGAACCTGTTACAAATTCTCAGTAACCCCAAGATTGAAACATTGAAGTATGAGCCTCATAATTGAGAGTAGCACCTTTCAGGTTCCTCTCTTTAGGAAGGTCAATCACTTTGTTTCTTGTTTCCTGTACTCTAGGAGGTTATCCAAAGAAGTTCAGAACCATTCTGTATGGGCATATTCTATCAGGAGGAAGGCTTATTTAAATCTAGCTAGCATCTGCATTCCCAATTTCATTTCACTTCTAGCCTCAGAGTGTTCCTTTACTTTCTTGCCAGTAGAAGCATTTTGAAAGATATTTTTAAGTACATATTTTATTCAGGATTCTTTTTCAGCAGGAGGTTTATTCATATTATATCTCTACTTCAGCCCTAGTGCTAGAAATGAAAGTGCTGACTATACTTCTAACATCTCCCGTTTCTCTTCTCTACTACTAACTGTAAGTCTTTAAATCAAGTCCTTAATACTTCCTACCCGGATTACACCAATGGAGTCTTAACTGACCATCACTCTATCTTCCACCTTGCTGCTGAGGTTTCAAAACACATGCCTGATTACCTACCTCCCTCCACCATCGGCACCACTCCTATCAACTCAAGTCCCTGGCCCTTCCTCTCCACTCTTTTAATGGTTCTCTGATACCTACAGTTTAAATTCCAAAGTCCTTAGTGATAATATCTCAGCTTATCTCTCTGGCTTGCACTCTCCTTGTCCCACAATACACACCACACAATTCAGTAAAGCCATACTGAATTACATACTTACAAGGCCCTTGTCTTCCTCATTTTACCTCTTTATGTCTATTTCATGCATGTCAAGATTAACCCAAGTGTTACTTCTCAGTATGTATGCAAAACATTTCTTATACTCCCTCCCTACTCCCTTCCCTGTGATTTACTTCTATTCCATATATGACTACACTACTAAGCAGTAAATAAATTCTGGTTTACTCTTCTGGCTCCCCAGAAACAGTCGAAGCTTCATGAACACAGGGTTTCGTTTTTGTCTTGGTATCCACAGCACTTAGTATCCATGTTTGATTACAATCATTTTCTAATATGCTGACTTAGAGACAGCTCATAGTCCTTCAGCTCATCAGTTAGTATACCAAGGAAAGAGGAATCAAGTTTCAGCCAAAACAACTTTCCTCTATCCTTTGACTTTTACACCGTATACACATATATTTATGTTTTAAATTTCATTCATAAAGCAATATAGTTACTCTGTGGAAATCACACAGAGCAAGTGGCTATTTAAGATAAATAAACTTACCATAAAGCATCACATACAAACTTTTTAGTGCTATACCTCAAACAACGGTTAAGTGAAAACCACATACTCCAAAAATGTTAAATGACACAGTGTAACTAGAGCTTGGTCAGCTGGCAAAAGACATACATCTGGCCCTCCCTGGGGGTGCAGCGGGTTAAAGCACAGCACTGAGATCTAAAAGCCGCTTCCGCATGAGTTCAATTCCCACCTGCCCCGGAGGTGACCACATGGTGTGGCAGACCTCTCCTGACCCGCCCGCTGCTCCCCTCAGCAGTGTACTTCATCGATCTGCCTGTTCTGTTCCCCACTCTGTCTCTGGTGAAGCCTCTCGCTGCCCCTGAGCCTCCGGCCTGTACCCCAGTTCTGTATGCACAAATAAATAAATCTTTAAAAAAAAAAAAAAAAGACATACATCTAAGATGGTAGGTTAAAAAAAACATTATTTTATGAAACATGAGTGGAAAAGAATATTACTATACAATACTGTGATTTAATGTTAAATCAAAAAATATATTACAAAGAAAGCATTTGATCATTCCACCTTAAATCTCTAGAAATTTAGATACCTGTTATTCAAAAACCTTTTTGGGAAACTGGACACACAATTGCATCATTGGGGTTTGTCTTATATCTGGTTATTTATGGTAATTTAAGGTCTAATTAAATATGACTACAGAGGTATTTTTTCTTGTACAGGACAAGAGAATAAAGGGGCTGATTTAGGAAAACTTTTTCCTCTGGCCAGTCCATTACCCGGTAACGAAGAGGAAACATTCTTCATACTCCTTTTGTTTTAGGAGTGGGGGCTGGGGGGTGGTACAGTATAGACATTAACAACCGGGATGTTCTTTATTAAATATAAGATTGAATCCTAGTTCTATCATTTACTACTTAACTTTCAACTAGTTACTAATTCCTCTAAACCAGTTTCCCCAGTTATAAAATTAAATTATTGTCAACTTCTCAAAGATCTTGTATCAATTAAGAAAATTCACATTAAGGGCCTTTCCTGGTGGCACAGCAGGTTAGGATACAGCACTACAAGCTGGCTGCAGCAGCCTCAGTGTGAGTTTTATCCCCAGCCCCAGAGGTGGCCCACATGGCACAGCAACTTCTGTCTCACCCACTGTGCCCCTCAGCAGTGTACTTTGTCGATATGCCTGTT